GGTCACAAAGAGCTGTCCCCAATGTCCCCAATGTCCCCAGGTGCATTTTGGGTGTATTTTGGGTGTTTTTGGTGTATTTTGGCGTGCATTTTTGGTGTATTTTGGGTGTATTTTGGGTATTTTTGGGGTTCCTCACCTGGCTCTGGCCGCCAGCAGCCCCTTTAGGACCCTCGGGAGCACCCCCGGCCGCACTTTGGGGGTCACAAAGAGCTGTCCCCAATGTCCCCAATGTCCCCAGGTGTGTCCCAGGTGTATCTCAGGTGTATTTTTGGGGTCCCCAGGTGTATTTTTGGGGTTCCTCACCTGGCTCTGGCCGCCAGGAGTCCCTTCAGCACTTTGGGGAGCACCCCCGGGCGCACTTTGGGGGTCACAAAAAGCTGCCCCGTCGGGGTTCGGATGAAATCGTCGGGGCCCAACCTGGGGGGAGGGGAGAGAAAAAAGGGTTAAATGGGGAGGGGCTCCCAGTGTGGACCAGTTTAAACCAGTATAAACCAGTATAAACCAGTATAAACCAGTTTAAACCACTATAAACGAGTTTAAATGGGTATAAACCAGTTTAAACCAGTATAAAGCAGTATAAACCAGTATAAATGGGTATAAACCAGTATAAACCAGTTTAAAAGGATATAAACCAGTTTAAAATAGATATAACCCAGTTTAAATAGATTTAAACCACTTTAAATGAATATAAACCAGTTTAAATGGGTATAAACCACTTTAAAATTGATATAAACCAGTTTAAATGGATATAAACACGTTAAAATGGTTATAAGCCAGTTTAAACCAGTTAAAGTGGGTATAAACCAGTTTAAACCACCATAAACCAGTTTAAATTGATATAAACCAGTTTAAATGAGTACAAACCAATTTAAATGGGTATAGACCAGTATATCCCAGTATAACCCAGTACAAACCCGTGTTTCTGGGGTCCCCCTGGTGGCAGCAGGGTGGTGTAGCAGAGGTTGTGGCCGATCCCAGTCCCATTTTGGGCCATTTTGGACCCATTTTGGGCCATTTTGAGCCGTTTTTTCACATTTCCAGTAAATCCCAGTATAGACCAGTATAAACCAGTACAAACCAGTATAAACCAGTATATCCCAGTACAAACCCGTGTTTCTGGACGCCCCCTGGTGGCAGCAGGGTGGTGTAGCAGAGGTTGTGGGCGATCCCAGTCCCATTTTGGGCCATTTTTCACCCATTTTGAGCCGTTTTTTCACATTCCCAGTACAAACCAGTATAAACCAGTACAAACCAGTCTAAACCAGTATAAACCAGTACAAACCCGTGTTTCTGGACGCCCCCTGGTGGCAGCAGGGTGGTGTAGCAGAGGTTGTGGGCGATCCCAGTCCATCCCAGTCCCATTTTGGGCCATTTTTCACCCATTTTGGGCCGTTTTTTCCCATTTCCAGTCCATCCCAGTATAAACCAGTATAAACCAGTACAAACCCGTGCTCCTGGGCGCCCCCTGGTGGCAGCAGGGTGGTGTAGCAGAGGTTGTGGGCGATCCCAGTCCCATTTTGGGCCATTTTGGGCCATTTTGGGCCGTTTTGGGCCATTTTGGAGCCGTCCCAGTATAAACCAGTATAAACCAGTACAAACCAGTATATCCCAGTACAAACCCGTGTTTCTGGGCGCCCCCTGGTGGCAGCAGGGTGGTGTAGCAGAGGTTGTGGGCAATCCCAGTCCATCCCAGTCCCATTTTGGGCCATTTTTCACCCATTTTGGGCCGTTTTGGGGCGTTTTTGAGCCCTCCCAGTATAAACCAGTATAAACCAGTATAACCCAGTACAAACCCGTGTTTCTGGACGCCCCCTGGTGGCAGCAGGGTGGTGTAGCAGAGGTTGTGGGCAATCCCAGTCCATCCCAGTCCCATTTTGGGCCATTTTTCACCCATTTTGAGCCGTTTTTTCACATTCCCAGTATAAACCAGTATAAACCAGTATAACCAGTACAAACCCGTGTTTCTGGACGCCCCCTGGTGGCAGCAGGGTGGTGTAGCAGAGGTTGTGGCCGATCCCAGTCCATCCCAGTCCATCCCAGTCCCATTTTGGGCCATTTTTCACCCATTTTGAGCCATTTTGAACCCGTTTTCAGTTATTTTTTTACATTCCCAGTATAAACCAGTATAAACCAGTACAAACCAGTATAAACCAGTATAAACCAGTACAAACCCGTGTTTTTGGGGTCCCCCTGGTGGCAGCAGGGTGGTGCAGCAGAGGTTGTGGCCGATCCCAGTCCATCCCAGTCCATCCCAGTCCCATTTTGGGCCATTTTGGGCCGTTTTTTCACATTTCCAGTATAAACCAGTATAAACCAGTATAAACCAGTCCAAACCAGTATATCCCAGTACAAACCCGTGTTTTTGGGGTCCCCCTGGTGGCAGCAGGGTGGTGTAGCAGAGGTTGTGGACGATCCCAGTCCATCCCAGTCCATCCCAGTCCCATTTTGGGCCATTTTGGGCCATTTTGGGCCGTTTTTTCACATTTCCAGTATAAACCAGTATAAACCAGTACATACCAGTATAACCCAGTATAACCCAGTACAAACCCGTGTTTTTGGGGTCCCCCTGGTGGCAGCAGGGTGGTGTAGCAGAGGTTGTGGGCGATCCCAGTCCCATTTTGGGCCATTTTGGACCCATTTTGGACCGGTTTTCAGTTATTTTTTCACATTCCCAGTCCATCCCAGTACAAACCAGTATAAACCAGTCTAAACCAGTACAAACCCGTGTTTCTGGACGCCCCCTGGTGGCAGCAGGGTGGTGTGGCAGAGGTTGTGGGTGATCCCAGTCCCATTTTGGGCCATTTTTCACCCATTTTGGGCCATTTAGGGCTGGTTTTTTACATTTCCAGTATAAACCAGTATAAACCAGTCTAAACCAGTACAAACCCGTGTTTTTGGGGTCCCCCTGGTGGCAGCAGGGTGGTGTAGCAGAGGTTGTGGGCGATCATGATCGAGGGGTACAGGGAGGAGAAATCCAAAGTGGCGATGGGGACGTCGTAGTACCTGAAATTTGGGGGAAAAATTGGGAAAATTTGGGAATTTTTGGGAAAATTTGGGAATTTCGAAGATTTTT